TCAACTATGAAATGAGAATAGCAATGCTTGCCTGGCCTGCAGCACAGGATTTCGTACGGTTTAAGTAAAATATTGTGTATAAACTAGACATAACGGGGAGTTGTGAACTCTCAAACACTTAATAAATACTAGGATTTGTTTGCTGCTGTCATGAGTTCAGGTTTTGACATGCTTTTCAATAGTGAGAACATTCAAACAGAAATGTTGAATGGGCAGCTGAAAACATGGGAGGGTATTCTGGAGAGAAATTAGTGCCAGAACTAACATGTGACTGTCACCTGCCACTCTCAGGGAAAACAGAGGAGGCTGGAGTGGGCTGAGAGTAGGAGGGATAAAGACTCACTCACTGGAGAAATCAAAATGGTTATGGATGGAGGCAGGTCAGGGCAGGAAGGAGCCAAGGGCTCAGGACAGGCTTCACAGTGTCTCAGGTTGCCAGAACCTGAGACATGAAAGAGAGAAGACAGCCGGTCTTGGGATGAGGAGGTTTATGTCAACTACACACAGGAGTTTCCTTAGGAAATGAAGGAAGCAAAAATAACATTATCAGAATTTAGCTGGAGGATCACGAGGAAGGAAAGGTAGCCAACAGGGTACACTCTGCATGTTAAACATTTGGCTTTGAAGAAGAGAGAAGTGGGACAATTTCAGAGTCTTGTGCTGAGATTTCAGAATTCTTTATTTGTGTGATCTGCTGTTTGTAGAAGTGCCAGGGCCATGAGGGAAGCCATTAGGAAGACAGGGACTTCATCTTGTGCTTGCCTCTGGTGCTTTGAGTTTTGTAAATGGGGCGCTATACCACACATGATATATAGGTGGGAGCCCTTGTCCATGGAAGCAGGAGAGAGATGCCCAGCAAATCAGAGATACCCCGGGGTGTCTGTCAGTCACTTTTCAATGACTTGAACCCAAGTATTGGGAGAAGCAGCCCACTCAAGCTAGCAGAGCCCATTTTGGAGGCTTGATTCTTCTCCAGCATCTGCCCTTTCCCCTGTGGTGCCAGCCAGAGTGTGCACAGTCAGTTTCGGGACCCTAGCATGTTCACTGATGACAGTATGGCACTGATCTTGGGCTGGGGTATGATTCCAGCTCAGGGCTGCTCCGGCAGCTGCCTGATCCAGTGGGCCTCCTTAGGGCATGGCGTGCAACCTGCCAAGCTCCTTCTCCTACAGAGTCCAGCTGTTTCTGCAGCATTCAGCATAGTACAGCCTGAGGCAGAGCAAGAGCTTCTTGGAATCCATGTGCACATCACACCTTCTGTTCTTCACTGCAGACCCGTGATCACTTGGTAGTGCTATGGAGTTGACCTTGATCGCTCAGCAATGCTATGGAGTTGTGCTGAGGAAGGACTTCCTGTGCTGGGAAAGAGGAGTATGTGGTGGTTGGGAAATAATCTCAACAGGTTCCCTGGTAGGAAGATTGTAGAATCAAGTTGCGCACTTGCTCACATGGACCTCTGGTCTGCTCAGTCATTTCACAGCCTCAGGATGCTTCTTAACATGCTTGACCTCAGAAAACACCAGTAAAGTAAAACAGCAACAATTGAGCACAGGTACTCTGCCTACTTCATCTGTTTCTTGCAGCCTGGAGATGAAAAATACCCTGCCTCTCATTGCAGTTGAGTGGCGTTCAGGAGCTCTCTGCTGCAACCCTTGCGGCCACTCTTGTTCTCCCTCCTGACAACTCTCCCATCTTTCTCATTCCCAACCTTGGGCTTGGGTATTCTGGGATGTCAGTGGCTGGGTGGTATCTTGAGTGAGTGGATCCTCAGCCAGCCCCCCAGGGATCATGGGCACACAGGACCGACCACCTGAGAAAAATCAGTTTTGTAGGTTAGGGCTTTGCCCCAATCCCTAGCTGGTCCCCTATATCAGGGAGGTGGCCTTATGACCATAGGCCTCAGGGACCCATTTTGTATCCACAAGAGCCTTCCCCCTGCATATTCCTCTGAAAACTCCACCATGGTTTCATGATGGCCTTCCATAAGGTGGAATATGCCTCCTTCCAAGTGGAGGGAGATAGGTCCTCTGCAGCTGATTGTGGCAGCCATGAGAAGTTCCCAGAGGAGAGGGGGCAGGCACAGCTTAGTAATTCCAGAGTCAGAGCTACAAAATGGGAAGACTCTTGCTAGAGAGAGAACACTGTAACCCAGCATTCTGTGTCCAGCCATGCTCTTGCCTCTCTGTGGAGGGTGGAGGGGAAGTGGATGGAAGCCTCTGCTCCTCCATGGAAGTTGGAATGTATAGCCAAGAGCCTGCTATACATTTCCTTCCAGGATCCTAAGGATGGTAACTATTTTCAAGGCTTAGGGAGAGCACTTAAAGGCTCTTATTTTTTTTCTCCATATTGATTTTGTTTAGATGGATCAGTGTTGTGAATGTGTCAACAAGCTGTAACAGTTTGGGGACTAGGTTTTTTTCAACATGGTGGGAGGAAGTGGTGAGCAAAGTAATCGGAGGTACCAGTGGCATTGGTACACAAGAGAGAGTCTTGTCAAAGGATTTGCAGGGCAATGCAAAGATAGACTGGACCAAAAGTAAGATTTTAGTTATTTTAGTGAGCCTCAGTATCATTTCCTCATAACTGATTCTGTGATGGTAGATTCATATCTAATAGTAATTGCTTAGAAATGATGGTCCAGTAATCTCAGAGTTGAAATGTGAGCAAGTCATGTGCTTTCTTTTATAAAGTTTCCCTGCCACCTGCTTGAAGTTTTGTTAGGGCAGATAGTTATGGGGCTTTCTCCCCAACCTCTGGGGCTACCTGTTCTCTAGGGTGACCTGATAGGACTCCTAAGATAATTCAGAGATTCACCCTTTAAGTGATCACATGGCATCCAAATAAGACTTGGCATGTCTACAATTTTGAGAAAAAACTTGTCACTATACACATGCACTCTCTCATGATGCTTGAATATTAGTGGCTTTCTATTCTTAAACTGGGGCTATTAAATCCTTCAGTCCCCAGTGAATGGAAAATACATGGATAAATAGGCAACCCAAGAAAAGAGTTGCTGATGGAGCCGAGCCTTAAACCATGTCTAAATCTAGGCTGTGAGAGATGCTGACAGTTGGTGATCAGTACCATCTCCGTCCTTCTTGGCTGTCTCTCATATTCCAGGGGCTAGAAGCCTGCAAACATTTCTCAGACTTTCTCACTAAAAAAAACCCACCAGGGATAAACCTGTGCCTGAGATTTGGAAGGCTGGAGAGAAGCAGAAGTCACTGTTGCTCCAACAGGTCAGTGGGAAGGCTCATGGGTGTCAGCAGATGGCAGACATGAGGGTTTGAGGTTTTGCCAGTGCTCCGGGGTATCCTCCTGTGAATGGTAATAGGAGCGTCACCCACTTCTTTGCTGTGTGTAGTTGAGACCGTTCATGACAGGCTCCTGCAATTCCTATATTTTTCTTAAATGCTAGCAGTGAACTTTCTTGACTTTTGCTTCCTTAGTTTTTTCAACAATTTTATAAGCCTCTAAGTGCCTCTATTAAGTGGTTGGTTGCTGAACCTAGAGTGGTATGTTTAGCAAAATCAAATGCCTTTTTTTTTCTGTCCAACCCCTGGTGCCCAGCCCTGGACTTGTTTGATTTCCATGAGATGAGTGGACAGGCACTGCTGTTATAGCTGGCATTTCTTACACTGGCAACTGAGAATGACAGCAGTCCCCACAGATCTTGTGGGGCTTCCTCCCTATCATATCAGTTCATTACTGGAAGCCCCACTGTTTTCCTCTTGTGCTTTTTGGAAAACTCGAAATGATCAGGCTACTGGAACTTCATCTGAATGAAGAAGTCACAAGTTCTGCTCTCCAGCTGCTCATAGTCTAGAAGACACAAAAGTAATAATCAAATAATTCTGTATGATATGCACAAGGCTGTCATAGGAATGATGCTCTGTGCCTGCACAGAGCAGAGAAAGATTCACTCTTTCCTAAGGGTAATGGAAAGCTTATTCTCCAACTCAGCCAAGGCAGTATTTCATTGGCATGATATCTAGTGGGGATGTGGGTTAATCTGTTATAACATATATACAAAAAATTATAGCAGTCAACCAAGATAGAAGCTGCTGCTTTTCTCTCTAAACAGCCTAAAGGTGGTCCAGGGTGAGTAGTGCTCTGCAACAGGAGGTCACGTGGAGAACCAGGGATTGCTGCTCCTCTGGGCTTTAGAGTGTTGTTCTTGTCCACATGATTGAGACTGGCCATCAGCATCACATCCATGTCCCAGACCAGGGGAAGGGGGAAGAGAGGGGTGGAGGACAGCTCATTTTCATTGTAAAGATTGTGACCTGTGTGTTGTACATATAACTTCCGCTAACCTTCCATCAGTTATGTAGTTCAATCTGGCAGTAAGGCAGGTTGAGAAGCATAACTATATTGCGTTGTGTTATAAATGAAATAAGGCAATCTCCATGTGAGATTGGCTCTGTGGAGGACCGGATGGTTGGACGCTGGTGGAGATGATGTGTATGAAGATGATGGTGGTGGAGGCAGTGAGGTGATGTTGGTTGCAGACGTCGTGAAGTGGCCTCTGTGACAGTGAATGTGGAGGTGGGAAGGTCTGTTTGATAGTCTGTTATCTCTGACTTTAGTTCCTTATATTCCTCCACTTTAAATAAGAGTCACAGAGCTTGTCCATCCCTTCCTTTTACAAATGACACAATAGATCCCATGAATGACTTGCTCACGGTCACCCCACTAGTGAGTTTGTAGAACAGAAACTCAAACTGGGTCCTCTTTTCTTCTGGGCCAATCCTCTTCCCTCTACCCACATTAGAGTTCTTGTTGGCTGGGGCAGTTTGAGAAATGCGGGCTCAGGGAACAACCCTCAGGGAACTGAGGTAGGGAAGAGCACCTGAGAACTACTAATAAATGTTCTCATCCCAGCCCTCATTCTTCATTCTAGAAAGCAGCTTTCGTGGTTTTTGAACATGATCAATCCCTCACCTTTAAGCTACTCTCAGCCATTGCTGCTTAGCATGGGAGCCGTCCTCTTCTCCTCACCTTCACTTCCCCACTAGATATCATGTCAATGAAATACCACCTTGGCTGAGTTGGAGAATTTGTCATTTTTACATCTCCACATCCTAGTGTCTTCTGCTCCCGATGACAAATAAATCCCTGGGCTGATGGCTGGCCCCGGCTATTCATTAAGCAAATAAAGCCCAGCGTGGGAGTCAGAGGCTCATAAATAACCCCTGGTGTTTCACAGTCCCCCCCTTCCCCACGCTGCTGCCTCAAAGGCTTTGCATATTGGTAATAAAGCAGCAGTGCTTCTGACACACCGTTATGTGTGGGAGCATGCATGGGGAAGGGCAGGCGGTGGCAGCTCTAGCTAAGATGGAGAGGGCCCTGCTAACTGGACCTGCGGGAGGGCAGTTGCTCCGAAGTCCTGAATGTTGGTGCCCTCATCCCAGCAGGGCTAAATTAGGGCCTCTGTCTAGTGCAGCACAGAGCTGGCCCCAGATAGACTGAGAGTTCTGATCTGGCTTTTGACCATGCTGAGAGGAGGAGGGAGATTTGGGGTGAGTAGCAGCTCCTACCTGTCATGTCCTGGGAGACAAGTTCATCATCATCTCGGAGGAAGTGGCTGGGATATTTGTAAAGCCCCTCGGAGAGGCCAGGCATTCTCACACCTGATGACACCCGAGCAACCTCATCTGAGCAACTTCGTGGGTGAGGAGCTCGACTTCCTGAACTGAGGAGCAGGCAGAAGAGGAGAAAAAGTTTCTGCCTGTAACAGTGAGAACGACTGGAATTATTAACAGGGATATATAGCATTAAAGATGAAGTTAAGGTTTATAAGCACACTTACATGCATTACACACCTCACTACATACGCTCATTAGCTATGGATTAAGCCAGCCTCTTACCTGATGAAGGTGCCACCGATGAAGGCTTCCCTACCCCAACCACGTGCACATGCATGTGCACACGTGTGCACGCACGCGCACACACACACACACACACACACACACAGAGCACACCTTGGCCTTCTTAAAGTATCATATCCCCCAGGCAGCAATTGCTGCTTTAAGCTTTCCAGGGGCAAAAACTATTGTTTATAGAGTTATACAGTCTATATAAGTACACTGTAGTGGATGTGAACTTAATTTACATTCTCATTTCACCATACAGGGTGGGGACATAAATTGTGGTGATAAACATAAACACAAATAATGAGCAACTAATTTTATGTACTAACCCCGAAAGGAATGCTTGGGACATACTAATATCACTCCATTGGTCTCCACGTACAAGGTTTCTTCCTAAAGGAGCCAGGGTTTGCTGGTCTCAGACATGACCCCTTTTGTCCAGGATCTTTTGCACTGTGCTAAGACCCTTGAGGTTGAAGATGTGTGGTCTCTGAGTAAGAAAATGCTAATTTTTTTGTATTTAGTAGAGACAGGATTTCACCATGTTAGTCAGGCTGGTCGCAAGCTCGTGACCTCAGGTGATCTATCACCTTGGCTTCCCAAAGTGCTGGGATTGTAGCTGTGAGCTACCACGCCTGGCCAGGGCTTGTTTTTAATGCTCATGCAAGGGCCTGTGTTTCCTGGTTTCTCACCATACCTGTATATAGTGCCAGGTGGACCAGTGTTTATTTCTTTTAGTACAGATTATGATGCATCCATGAATTATACTTTTTAAAGGCATGAGACAGAAGGAGAAAACATTACAAGCAAAAAAGGAGCTTCATTCATAAAATGTTGGTCTCCATTGCGCTTGTAGGTGTGTGTGCTGTGTAGTGTACTGGCTAGAGTATGAAATGTATTTCTTACCTTAGGCTGCACTCAGAAAAGTGGGCAGCCCTGGAAAGACTGAGGAAGAAAGGACTGTGGACTTGGACCAGAGTCCCTTTTCTTTGTACATTAGCAGGACCACAGTGACCTGCCACGATGGCATGGGAGAATGTCAGGCTGGAAGAAACCTTGGAGATTACCCAGGTCAGTGGGGACACTAAAGGCCAGAGATTGGAAAAGACTGGTCCACAGTTTCCCAGCACAGTAGTGCCAGAGGCAGGACTAGACCCCTTTGTGATTCTTGGGGCAGCCCCGCTCCATATAAACGATAAGCACAAGAACCTCAGGAATCTCTTTAGAAGCAAAAGTCTTCATGTGGCTTCCAGGGTGACTTGGCATCACCCCGACTGAGGGCTAATTCATCTCTGAGCCAGGGCAAGATGGCCACTTAAACTATCACAGGCCACCCTCCATTGTCCATCTGGGGAGAGAAGACATGACACTCTGCATCCAATTAAAAGCAACAGGAGGGTGTAAGGGAGACAGAAAGTAATTCTTCTTGGAAGCCAGCCAGAGCATCCTCGTGCTAAGATTAAGAAGGATAATAACAGCCATAATCGTGGGAAGAGTAAAGCTTCTACAAGGCCTCAGAGACTTGACAAAGTAATACAAGGAAAAGGAAATCAAGATGGACACTCTGAGGAGCCCCGCCCCTCACTGGAAGAAATGTCCTTCTGAAAGTGCGCCACATTCAACAGGCGTCTATAGCGGACTTGGGACATCTGAGGATGAGCTCTCCGTGATGGTCAATGTTATGTGGCAGCTTAGTTAGGCTGTGGTCTGGTCAGACACCAGTGTGCTATGAAATAATTTTTTTAGATGTGTTTAACATTTAAATCAGTAGACTTTCCATCAAGCAGATTACCCTTCATCATGTTATTGGGCCTCATCCAATCCATGAAGGCCTGAAGAACAAAGACTGAACTGTCCTGAAGAAGAAATTGCAGTCCTCAAGACTGTAACATAGAAAGCCTGCCTGAGTTACCAGCCTTTGGACTCAACTCTGGTTGGAGTTGGCCAGACTTGCAGGTTTTGGACTTATCAGACCCCACAATACCATGAGCCACTTCATTTAAATCTCTCTCTGTGTACCTACACACACATACCCTGTTGGTTGTTTCTCTAGAGAACGCGAATGCACTCACCCTCTCATTGCCACCTTTCTTCTATGTTACAGATGTCTTCAACCTCATCCCCACCCAACTTAGAGCTCCCAGACTCTGGTCTCTTTCACCTCCTTCCACCTATGTCTGGTTGGCTGACTAACATCCCAGTGTTTTCTCTGCTCCCTGTCTCACATCCAGCCCTGTCTTTTCATTTTCCAGTCAGTTTCTTTTAATCTACATCTAGACAATTCCAGTGGCCTCCTTAACTTGTCACTCTTCTGCTCTCTCCCCATCCATCTCCCCATGCCTGCCTCCACTTGTCTCTCTCTCCATAATATGGAGTGTTGGTGACGGGTGGATGATTTGCAGGTCATGAGATCCAGACCCTGCTCATGGGCAAGCAGAACAAGGCGGGAGGGATGCCGGTTCTGGGGTCAAGTCTCCTGCAATGGGATTGAGGCCTATCAACTTCCTAGCATTATTGTAAACCTTTGTACTGTGGGTTCCCCACCTCTGAAGTAGGAATAATAGTAATACCTATATCTTAGAGTTATGGCAACGGTGAAATGAGATGATCCATGGGAAGTACTTAACCCAATACAAGTACTCACATCAGTCTTAACTGTCTTAATAACTATTGTCACAGAATGTTTAGGAAGTTGGCCCAAAGAGATGAAGTGACTGGCCTGCTGCACATGGCAGTCATGGTCGAGTGGAGCTACATGCCAGGTGTTTCAACTTCGGGTCTGGGCCTCCCTCTATGCCATCCCACAAGCCTGCCATCCCTGCCAGCTCATGGTCTTAGAGCTGTATATCGGGTCACACTTAGAATTTTTTAGTGGTTCCCCATTACTTCTCTAATAAAATTCATACTTTGAGCCTGATATTTGTTCAGCAAATATTTTTGGAGTAGAACCACATGCCAGGTCTGGACTGGGTATTAGGGATACCCAGTGGAATTCCTGTCGTCATGAGGCCAACATTCTAGCAAGAGGAGACAGAAAACAAAGGTGTATACACACACACACACACACACACCCCTAACCTTACAGTGCTGACAAATGCTATGAAGAGAAACAGAGCAGATTAAGGGGAAGGAAGATGAGGATCCAAGCAGATCCTCATCCTTGGAATAAATGAGGTTTGAGCAGGAGGAAGTGAACCATGCAGAATCTAAGGAATTCCAGGTGGGAGGAGCAGCCTCGCCTGAGGAGGAGCCTGGTGTGGCTGGAGTAGACTGAATGAGGGGAGAGCAGGAGGAGGCAAAGCATCTGGGGCCTTTGGGCTACTGTGAGGACCTGTCCCTAAGTGAGTTGTGCTGCCAGGAGGAGGCTTTGAGCCAAGAAGTGACGTGATCTGACTTGTATTCTTCTTGGCTGCTATGTGAAGAATAATCTCTATAGGGTGAGGGGAGGAGCCAGGAGATCATAGTTCAGGTAAGAGATGGGCTCAGGTGACAGTGGTGCAGGTTCTGGGAGGTGGCATGGGATATATTTCAAGGAGAAGTCCACAGGGTTTGCTGACAGTAGGGATTGAGATAGAGGAATCAAGGGTGACACCTTTGTTCAAGGCCAGGGAAATGGGAAGAATGGATTTGCCTCTACTAAGATGCAGAAGCTGAGTAGGGGCAGGTCCAGAGGGAAACCAAGACTGGGTTGGGGCCACACACTCAGGATATATTTTAGATGTTAAAGTGGAGGTGCGGGGCAAGTTGTTGGGTATGTGAGAGGATTGGCAGCAAATATATAAATTCAGGAGTCATCTTGGAGTCTAAATCCTTGGGACTAAATGAGGTCAGGTAGGGTGCCAGGTGCACAACTGGAGTGTTTCAGTGCTTAGTTAGAGGAGGAGGGTGAGAAGGGGCTGCCAGAGAGATGGGAGGGAGAGCAGGAGTGAGTGACATCTGGAGGCAGAAGAGGGAAGTGTCCCAGGGGATGGATAGGGCTACTGTGCCAACCATGGATGATGCTAGATCAAGCAGGATGAGAGTCGGGAATGACGATTGAATTTAGCCATGTGCAAGTCATGAATGGCTCTCAGGAAGTCAATTTCAGTAGAATCACTAGGATAAAAGCCTAATGGGGTTGGAGCTCCAGAAAGGAAGGGGAGAAAGTGAACACAGGATTCCCTTTCTGTAAGGGAAGCTGGGAAAGGGGATGACTGCTGTAGAGAGTTCTGGGGCCGAGGCGAGGGAGGGTATTTTAAAGATGGCAAATTCACCATGTGTATGCTAATGGGAGTGGTCCAACAGAGAGGGAAGCTTTGATGATGTCAGGAAAGAGGCACAGTTATAGGAAAGAGTTTCTTGAGAAGGCCAGCGGAGGTGAGACCAAAATCACACAAGGGGTGATGAAAGCCATCCATGCTCTGGTCTTAACCTAATTTATTAGCATTATTTTCATCCACTGGAACCTTTACTCCAGAGAAAATTGAGATATTCACTATTCTCAATTTTGGTTTGAACCTTCAAACATACCTTGTTACCTGCCCCCCTCCACTATAGCTTTATTGGACCAGTCTATTGGCTATCTTGGAAAACTTTCCCACATCTCAAGTCGTCAAAATGTTACCCCTACTTCAAGGCCTCTCTCAAATGGACCTTTCCCCACCCCATGCTGCATTCCCACAATAGCCCTGGCTGGAAGTGGTGTCTCCTGCGCAGGTGGGCCCTTTGCTTGGGGCTCCAGACTGTCAGTGCTGAGTTCCTGGATAAGCAGACAGAGTGCATGCTGATGGAAGTAGCCTGGCAGGGCCCCCATAGGCTGGAAGTAAATGAAATAAGCTCCCGTGAACTTATCCAGAATTTTGATAATAGAAAATCTACAGAGAACCTCTGTCCATTTCAGCATTCTCATAAGTTGTGCTTAATGTCGCCTATTGTTTTTATTTAGAATTACATCTTAGGGAGTACCATAATTTCTTGTGTGCTTAAGCCCCCAGTGATCCTTACCTGGCCCTGCTTGCCCCCCAGTTCCCTAGGAAGCTCTATACTTCTTGAGCAGGAATTTGGTCCCACCAGTCTTGGGCCCCCTGAAGCACCCCCTTAGCTCCTAAATATCCGTGTGCTAAGTGGGAAGATGTTGTTTAGTTGCCATGTTACGTGGCAACTGGAGGCCCTGCGTGGGGTGGGATTCTGACGTGGGGAAGGTAGAGTGTTGGGGGAAAGAGGCCTTATTCCAGAACTGGGAGGAGAAGGAGAATGTAGGCCTGCATATTGGGTCAAAGTCCGTAATACTCTGCCCAAGGGGAGGCTGACCCCTAGTATTGAGATAGGGCCAAGCATTTTACCATCCCCCACTGAGGGGGAACCCCTGAGGGACATGTGGCCATATTTGGGGTATGACAGTGTCTATATTTGAAAAGGAGGCAGGCTTTGATCTGCCTGTCATTATTTCTTCTGAGAAAATCAAGTCTGTGTCAGCTCTGCCGTCTTCCCTCCCTTCCTCCCCTTTCTGACCCCCACTTCCCGTCTGTACACACTTTTGTAAAACACATGCAGGGCCTCTGACACTGCCCACAAAGAATAGAAGACCAGGAGGCAAAGATGTATTCCAGAACCACAGGGCAGACGGAATCTTTCTTCTGTCTGTCTAATTGTGTACTGGTGTGTCTGCCTTTGCGGCCATCACCGCATTCACAATGTACCTCCTTTTTATTGGTTATGACAACATCCCTATAGGTAGTTATTACATCCCCACTTTATAGATGAGAAAAACTGATTTTCAGAGAAGTGAAAGGACCTATCCAGGTCACATGGCCAGGATGGGACAGAATGCATGTTTAATTTCAAGTCCTCTGACTTCCAGCCTCCCATGCCTGTGCTCTTTCTGCTGTACCAGGACTCAATGAACTTTTTCCATAAAGGGCCAGACAGTAAATATTGTGGGCTTTGTGAATGGTCTGCAGAGTGGTTGCAAATACTCAGCTCTGCTGTTGTAGTGAGAAAGTGGTCACAGAGAGTATGCAAGCAAATGGGTGCGGCTATGTTTCCATAAAACTTATGTTTATAAAAGCAGCTGGCAGGTCAGACTGAGCCCACAGGTCTGAGGGAGAAGACCCCAGGCCGCCTCCAAAGTTGCCTTCTACCTTGCCCCTCTTTGGTGAGCACAGCTCCACATGGCCCTTGGAACATCCCTTCCACACCTCCAAAATGGCCCATCTGTGCAGCACCTGCTGGCTGTTCAAGCTTTTGTGTGAGTTTCTCTTGGCTCCAAGTTGGGCATTTGGGCTCCTGCCTTCCCTCCAGGCCCATTGGCAAGTGATTAAGATCCCATCTATACTTTTCTGACAGCAGTGGCTGGCAGAAGGGGCCTCATGGCTGAGATAAGCCAGGGTGTGCTGGGGAAGGGGCTGGCCACGTGGGACATGGGTTTCATTCCTGGAAAGGAGTCATAAGCATGTAATTTGCATTATAAAAATGTGCAGTCTCCTGGAAAGCCTATTTCTCCTGCATACCATACTTCCTTCAGAGCAGCTGAAGCTGGCTTACCAAGAGTGGGGATCAGCTAGATGGATCCTGACTGAGCAGGAGGGAACCCACTTGTCCTAAATGATCTCTGTAAGCTGCATGATGTGTGGGAGCCCAGAGGCTGATTAGGGCAAGGCAGAAGGTGGGTTGAGCCTACCAGCAACCACATTTTCCCTCCCAGAGAAGAAAGGGGGACTGGGCCTGGGGAGGCCACTCCTAGGTCGAGCACAAAAGTTGAGGAGTAGAAAATTAAAGATAGCTTCTGGGTGTATAGATAAGCCCATCCTTATGTGATCCCAGAGGCCATCTTGAGTTTTAGGCAGAGGTGGGCTGTGCCCCACCCCCAGCTTTGTGCTACCCAGAGACGGTGCTCTGACTTACCTGAGGGGGACCAGCGGCTGCTCAAGGTATTTTGCTTCTTTCTAAATGTCTTTGTTCCCTGGGGTTTCATTTACCCACATGAAAATACTACAAACTATAGCTGTGTTTTGGATGGAAAAGTTCTAGCAAAATTAGCTTTCAATTTAGCTTCATTTTTGGTTCCATCCCCTTTTAATGAACACAATTAAAAAATACAGTTATGTGGATTGAGTATATTTTCGTCTCCTGGATAATGATCCAACACTGTTTTCCTGTGTGATCGCTGTGAAACACACTTCTCTAACATTCGTGTTCCCCTGTACCTGACTGATTCGCTCATTTCTGATGGCAGTGATGGGCAGAAGGGGCCATGTGGCTGAAATAAGCTAGGGTGTGCTGGGGAAGGGGCTGGCCATGTGGGAAGTGGGTTTTATCCCTGGAGAGGAGTCATAAGCATGTAATCGGCTTTCAAAGATATATTTATAGGGTAGATCAAGCCACCGCTCGCCCCTTACTCTAGTGTAATTTCATTCTTAAATTCTGGTCCAAGAGTAAGCCTCTCTATTGTGGAAAGCTCTTAGGTTGTTAAGGCACTTTTACAGGTATCCTTACACTTAATTCCTGCAATGACCCTATGACCTAGGCAGGCCAGGAATCATGATGCCCATTTTGCAGAGGGACAGTCTGAGGCTCCAGACAGGTCTTCTGGGGCCACACAGTGAGTGGTGCAGACGTGGGACTAGAATCTGATATTCATTCTTTCCTCTGTCTCAAGCTGCCACCTCCGACAAGGTCCAGTCTCTAGGCTGAAGCCTGAGTGCCTGCCTCTGGAAAGACAGTGATAGCCACTTAACCTCCATGAGAAACCCTGTTTCCTCCTGAGCCTGCTTGCCATATCCTCATGACTGTAGGCTCCTTGAGGGTAGGACTGGGTTGTGGGGCTGTGTGGTGGGTCCATGTCCTTCTGTTTAGCCCAGGGCCTGCAAAGCACAGACAGCTTCTCAGCAAGTGGTCATTAGACAAGAGAATGAATGAGTGAGCCTAAGTCTCCTCAAAATGATAGTGTGGAAAGGGCAGGTGAGTTAGGTGTCAGGCACTAGGCTCTGCAGTTCCAGAAGGAAGGCTTCCTTTCAAATGAAAATTAATAAAGCAAAACCCACTCGAAATAAACTCTGATATCAACAAATTCTCAACCCAAGTTAGAATTTAAATTAGGACGACATTATTTTGAGTTGAAAGAGAGTTTCAGCAGAAGGGTGGAGTGGAGGCATCACAGGACTGTCCTCTCTGAGAGGTGCCTACTCTGGGGCTTCTGTTCTCATCCTCAAGGCAGTGAGACATGCAGAGTGGTGATTTAGGAGCTCTGTATTGAAACCTGGCTGCCTTATATCAGCTTGTGGCCCTGGGGATGTACTTAACCTCTCCTGCCTCATGGAGTTGTTCTCAAGATGATGTGAGATGATGCCCAATAAAGCACTGGGCATGGTACCTGGAGATGACTGAGTCCCCATCACCAGCTCCTTCATGTTGTCATTTGTGAGAGGGCCTGGGGTCACTCATTCATTCTCTTGTCTAATGACCACTCACTGAGAAGCTCTCTGTACCCTGCAGGGCCTGTGCTAGGGAGAGGTCACAGGCCCCACCACACGGCTGCTGAGCCAGCAGGCCACAATGAAAGGTCATGAGGCACGCTTGCTGAGTCAAATTAGTTGTGCTTTTTTGTTGTCATCATTTCAAAGAACCTGCACACATTTCCTCACCGACTCATTTCCATCCTTCCATCCCCAGAAGCCTTCACTGTTCCAGATGCCATTTATCAAATATCTCAAAAATAAAATAAAATAAGCAGGCCTCACCGCTTCTGGACTCTTGATATGGTTTGGCTTTGTGTCCCCATCCAACTCTGATCTAGAATTTTAATCCTTATGTGTCAAGGGAGAGCCCGGGTGGGAGGTGATTGGATCACGGGGGCGGTGTTCTTATGATGTAAGTGAGTTCTCATGATATCTGGTGGTTTTATAAGGGGCTTTTCCTCATTTGCCCACCACTCTCTCTCACCTGCTCCCACATAAGACATGTCTCTTCCCCTTCTGCTATGATTGTAAGTTTCCTGAGGCCTCCCTAGCCCTGCGGAACTGTGAGTTAATTAAATCTCTTTTCTTTATAAATTACCCAGTCTCAGGTATGTCTTTATAGCAGTGTGAAAATGAACTAATATAACTCTTTAGCAAGAGATAATAATATATGGTAGTCATTCCTCTCAAGTCCTTTGGAGGAGGCTCTTCCTCGGCCTGGGCCAGGGGTACCTGGAGGGCCCTGCTGCCCTGTTCATGTTAAATCTGCAAGCGTCTGTCTCACCTTTCTTGCCGCTTGCTCTCCAAGGATTTCTTCCACTTACACATCTCCAGGCCCCTTTCTTCTCATGAAAATTGCTTCTCCTGAGGCTGGGAAGCACTGAGTGGCTGGCCCTGACCGTACTTGGGAAATGAGTGAAGTGCCGCCCCCAAGGTCGAGGCCCTGTGGCTAGGGTAATTTTACCCTTGTCACCATAACTACAGGTGCCCTTATTACTCACACAGATGTCTCATCCTTGTTGAACAACATATTAAACTATTAGTCTCCATGCCAGTGGGTTCAGTTAGTTCACAGTGGCAAAAGCTGATCATTAAATCCCGTTTTCCCTGCTTAATCTCTTTTAAATTTTAAATTGTTTGCCTTTTAACTTCATCAAGTGCCCTCTTTCTCGGCCATTCCATTGTGCAGCGGTGCTGGTGTCTCTCCAGGTGAGAGGTGCTGGACTTTCTAGGCCTTCTCAGGTGGTCTCTGTGGACTGCAAGGCTTAAGCAGAGGCTAAAGAGGATTTTCTTGCAGAGTGGGTCCCCAGGGAGAAGTGAAGGGGTGACAGATTTTACTCCCATCTAATTCTTCCCTTAATACTTGGAGCAGAGGGTCCCAGTCTTTTTTTATTTTTATTTTTTTGAGATGGGGTCTCGCTCTGTCACCCAGGTTGCAGTACACTGGCTCAATTTGGGCTCACTGCAACCTTCACCTCCCCGGTCCCACTTCAAGCAACTCTCCTGCCTCAGCTTCCTGAGTAGCTGGGATTACAGGAATGCACCACCATACCCTGCTAATTTTTGTATTTTTAGTAGAGACGGGGTTTCACCATGTCGGTCAGTCTGGTCTGGAACTCCTGACCTTGTGATTTACCCACCTCAATCTCCCAAAGTGCTGGGATTACATGAGTGACCCACGACACCTTGTCCCCAATCTTTAAACCCTTTGCTTCACCAGCCTATCCAAGAACCCGGATCTCCTGCAGGTAAAGATAAAAATCGTGTCTTGTCTCAGTAGGAAATTTAAATGTTTGTAAAAATAGATACTGTGTTACGTGTATTATTTACAGTAAATTTAAATGTCATTAAGGTCACGGTGGAGTTAGGAGAATTCATATTGTGAGGGCCCATCAGCAATACCTACTGTGGGCAAGGGAATGGGAGATGGCAGGTGTATGCTGGGTGGCCACAGTCACTGCTGGCAGGCCTGATGGCTTACAGGAGGGACATCCTGGCTTGCAAGGGGCCTGGGGCCAAGCCATATCTGTTGAGGGCCATGGGCATGGAGGAAGATTAGAGTCTTAGGAACCTTTCTGAAAATGTGGGGACAAAATTCATATATAAAGCAGAAATGGCATTAATAGAGCATAGGCCAGACAGACTGGGGTCCAAATCAGAAGTCTGCCATAGCTAGCTTTGGGACCCTTGCTCACCCATAAAATGATCATCACATTATTCACCTTGCAGGGTTGCTGAGGACTCAGTGAATAATGCATATGGTACGCCTAGCACAGAGCCTGGTATGTTGTAAGGATAATAGCCAATACCTTGTGATCCCTTTTGTGTGCCAGGCACTACCCTAAGCTTTGTAGGGTAGTGTGTCTTGGGTGAGATTTCACAGAAGCAGAGCCTTGTAAATTTAATGAGAGCACTCCCAGGAGGAGAGGAGTGAGGGAAGCAAGAAAGGGCCGGCGGGGGAAGATGCCCTGCCAGGATGTGTCTCATAGTAAGAGATTTGCTTCAGCCTGGTTGCAAGGGGAGCCTCGGAGAAGAGATTGCTCAGCTGCTGGCACAAGTTGCTCCCTGGGGTTGGGGATATAACCCTAGGCAGGTCTTGTTCAGGGGGACGGTTCTCTGTAGAAGTTTGCAGCCAGCACTCTTAACAGCTGAGGAATAGGTATGCAGGCCCAGTGAAAGGAGTTCATGTGGGCACAGTGGCACCCAGTGCGGTCCACCCCTCTATTCTAGCACAGTTTCGGGATTCTGGTTGGTCCCAATTTCTAAGAAGTCCTGTAAGGCAAGGTAATCGCCTATATTGTGTCCCTTCTCTACCCCTCACCGTTCATATGTTGGAGCTCTAACACCCATGTGACTATATTTGGAGATATGGCCTATAAGGAGATAATCAAGGTTGGTGTAATATAATGACTGGTGTCCTTACAAGAAGGGAAGATTAGAAATCCAGAAAGAGACATTGGGGATGTGCACACACAGAAAAGACCATGTGGGGACTCAGCCAGAAGACGGCCATCTGCCTGCCAAGGGGAGATTCCTCAGGAGAAACCAACCCTGCTCACATATTGATCTTGGGCTGCCAGCCTCCAAAGCTGTGAGAAAATAAATTTCTGTTGTTTAAGCCCCCTGTTCTATGGTATTTTGTGACGGCAGCCTGAGTGGATCCAGGCAGAATGGCTAGTAGAGCAAACTATAGGCCCTGCTGCTGCAGTTGTTAGTGACTCTCATCATCTCCCTCCTCCTCCTACCCATTCTAGATTTCCTGCCCCTCAGCCTGCATCAAGGTGTAATCTAGGCAGATTGCCTGGTGGAATGATCCCCAGAGGCTCTGGTTACTAAGCCAGGAGCCATCTTGCATTTAATTGTAATAGTCTCTTTCAATCTGTGACTGTCTTTCCTTGTCTTGGGTGACCTTGACACTCTGAAGAGTTCTAGTCAGTTATTTTGTAGAATATCTCTCAATTGGGTTTGTCTGATGTTTTCTCCCGAGTAGATTGAAGCTACCTGTTTTTGGCAGAAATACTACAGACGCGGTGCTGAGGCCTTGTCAGCACATGGTTACAGGGGATGCGTGATATCCATATGTCTTATTACTGGGGATGCTAACCTTGATGGCTTGGCTAAGGTGGTGTACCGGCCAGCAGTCTCCATCATAAAATCCTTTTGCCATTAATACACTGGAGGATGTACTTTGAGACTATGCAGACATTCTGATTCATCTCAAGTGTTAGCCCATTAATGTTAGGATAGATGGAGGCAGATTTTCCTGGACCCTTTTTATAAGGTAGAGTTGCCTTCTTTCTGCAATTCTCTTGTCAGGAGTAGATTTGGGATGCCCTGCAGAGGCTGTAGGCACTAACTCTCAGTTCACACTGGCAGGGAGTAAGCTCCCACCTCCTTTTTTTTTTTTTTTTTTTGAGATGGATTTTAGCTCTTGTCACCCAGGCTGGAGTGCAATGGCATGCTCTCGGCTCACTGCAACCTCCACCTCCCAGGTTCAAGTGATTATCCTGCCTCAGCCTCCCAAGTAGCTGGGATTACAGGCATGTACCACTATGCCTGGATAATTTTTTTGTGTTTTTAGTAGAGATGGGGTTTCACCAAGTTGGTCAGACTGGTCTCAAACTCCTGACTTCAGGTGATCCACCCACCTCGGCCTCCCAGAGTGCTGGGATTATAGGCATGAGCCACCACGCCTGGCCAAGCTCCCACCTCTTTAAAGCTAGTGAGTGGTTGATTCTTCAGAGGCCACAGAGCCTTAGCCCTCCCCTCCCCCCTTCTTGCATCCCCTCACCTGCTAATTTACACTTCTGTCTCAGTTTCTTTCTCATTCCTCTTCCTTTCTCTGGGGTGCATGTTGAATTAATTATAGCAGGAAAGATTGGTGTAAGGGTAAAACCCGCACAGATCTTTGCACTGTATAGACATGGTAAACCCAGGGGTGCTTTAGGGACCATTGACTCCTATCCTGTTATTCGACGGATGAGGAAATAGTTAGGGTGAGTTCAAGTGACTTGATCAAGACTCTGCTAGTGGGTGGCAGATAGATTGGGTCTAGAACTTGGCTTGCTGACCTTCGTGTGCCGTGTGTCCCAGCATGCTGCATTCCTCAGGGCTAGTCATATGGAAACCTGTCCAGGCCTTCTGAAGGAGGCATCCACTGGCAAACAGCTGGATCCATACCGCTTCTCACCATGCCCATGACAGGAGGTGAAGGCTTGCTTTCCCTTCAGTCTTGGTTTCTCTGCCTCAGTCCTGGGAAAAGGAGTTCTCTCTGGGGGCCCAATGCCTCTCTGTGCGTTTCTCCCTGCAATGAGTTGGAACATTGGGAATTGATACAGGAACCTACTTGAGAGCCCAGAGACTCACTAGCTATCCAGATCCAGGGCTGATGAGTCTCCTCTTGCCTTTTTTGGGGAGGACGGGGAAAGGGAGATGCTCACTTTTATTCTCATCTTTGCTCAGCTTCACCTCTTAATGGACATTTCCTATATACAAGTCACTGCTTTTTACATACAATATTTCATTTAATCCTTAAAACCCTGTGAAATAGGCATTATTCTCCCCATTTTACAGGTGAGGGAACTAAGGTTCAACCAGGTTATGTAGCTTCCTCCAAATCACGTAAATAGTAAGTAGTAGAGCTGGTATCAGAGCCTAAGTCTTGAGAAAATTGAGGTTCATCTATTTTCATTCCTTAAGTGTGGCTTTCATGAACGCTTACAGGGATGGAAGCTTAAAGCCATTGTCTGCACAATCATTGTTTTTAGATTGTCAGAGTCTATATAACATTTTTGCAGCGTTTCATGACCATTCCCATAGATGTTTACTTTCAATTTTGTAATTATATAGATTCAGTGCTCTACTGGTTCTTCTGCTCCATTCCTGGGTTTTTTAATTTGAACCACCAATTCATTGACTGCATGTTATCATCTAGTGGATTCTTCAAAATGGGCTCATAGGTGCTGTCATTTCTGAGCTCAGATGGGAGAATGTCATACTCCCGCTACCCCTACTTGAACAGGAGCAGGTTAAAATGGTCCCCTGTTAAAATGCACTTGGACTCAGCCCTGTGGGTGCTGCTGCTTTATCCACTGACATGGAATGCTGCCGTGGGGAAGTTTGAGGTCAGCTGAACATTTCCACTTCTGTAGGTGACTTGTTGGTTCTGCCTGGGTGCTTGATCATTTCTTTCTTGCATTTCAAAGTTCAATACCTAAACCAGGCAAAGTCTTCATGTCAATCACTTCTTATCAATTTTTCATGGTACACGGTGCACAATTTTGATGTGCAGATTCAGCTCTTTATTCATCTCAGGAGCTTTTTATTTAAAATGATGAAGACCGTTTTGTGTGTTCCATCTGTTTCTCTGCTTCAGGTTCACCAGTTTTCTGATGTTGGATCACCTTCGCTCTTTCTATACATTTTTTTTTTCTCTCCTCTAGTTGCTGTAGTAATTTAAATCTTTCTCCTCTGAGTCCCAGAGACTTGCCCAAGGTCCTACTGCTCATAGGTGGCAGAACCAGGCCTGGAACCCTTTAGTTGGTCTCAGTAATGAGATTTCCTGCTGTGCCTGCACTGCTTCTTGGAGTTTTGTCATGTATTTATTGGTTCTGCAAAAATGTTTCGTGGTTCTCAGTTTTATCATTCTTTATTCCATTGCTTTATTTAATCATCTAATCTTTTAGCTCTTATTTTATTAAATTGATGTTCTTAAGCAATTCCATAGCATGAATCATGTTTAGGTAATTTTCTTCCCTTTCCTTGTTTTTATTTAGACTTGGGTTTTTGTTTTGTGTGTGTGGGTGGTGGTGTTTTGGGATTTTTTTCTTGCTGGGTTCCATTTTGTTGGTTTGTTTGTTTTTGGTTTTGGCCCCACCCCACAGGGGCATGTTTGCCT